CCCCTCAGATCCCTGCCACACTAAACATCTGACCCAGATTCCCATTGACACCGAATTCTTCTCAGCACCAACTACTTCCACATTACTCTGCCCACCACCATCAGCAACCCTGGACTCCCCATCCATCCACACCTCGTCGCTGACAACGCGCTAGTACCCACTCCCTGGTAAGTCTTATTCCTTTAATTTGTTTTTTTTTTCTTGCCTAGTCACCACTTGGTAGCGCGCTTCTGTATTTCTTGTCTTCCTACCCAGCTGGCTCTGCCCATCTAAAGATTGTAGTCCATAACTAAACTGAGCTTGGAGAGGTGGCTACTTTACAACACAGACAGGGACAATGGGAAACAAAAGTATCCACCCTCCAGAAGGAAGGACAGTGTCAGCATGAATTTAGAGATGGTCTGAGGAGCTACAGCTGAGTGATGCACAAATAAGGAACATTCTTAATAGTTAAGCTACTTGAATGCATTTTTAAGATTTAACTACTGAGTTTTTTTGTCGTCATTTAAGGTTCTGTTCACACGGGGCAATCTGGCAATCCGGCCGCAAAAACCTACAGGATCCCCAGGTGGCCCCGTTCAGATGCGGCCACTATACTCATTGACTTAAATGACAGGGTGACAGTGGCCTGTAAGTGGAAGTCCGCATGCAAGGGTACGATTAGAAGCAGTTTGAAATAGATGATCGTCACTGGCCGCATCTGTCCTCTATTCCAAACCGCATATCATTAGAACATCTACTATTACATGCAATCTGCCATTTACAGATGTGCCCTGTCATTTACTACTGACTACTGTCTCGTAAAGTGTGCAGCGGCCACATTTGAACAGGGACACTTGGCATTTATGTCACAGCAATCCATAAGCTCTTGCCTCAGGAATGCCAGATTGTCCCGTGTGAATGGGGCTTATAACCCAAGGAGGCTCCAGACTGTTTTCCAGTAGATCACTAGACAATTATTATGGAGCCCATCTCAGGGATAATATGTTGCAGTTAGTACTGCAAAGGTAGTAGCAAAACAGCCGTTGATGAAACTGCATAGGTCTGGTGCACAGAAAACGTAATGTGGCCCTTACAGATTTATTCCATACAGTTCGCCCCACTGAATTTTAAATGCCTGCTCTCAACCTCCTGCTTCTCTATATGGTAAAATTCCATTGATAGTGGCTTTACTGTTCTATATGCAATGTGAAAATTCATACTTTTCCAAGCAGATCATCAATCTCATATTCTGAATTTTTGCCTGAAATTACAACAGTCTGTGCTCCAACAACCTTTGAAACCAATACTTCCGACATCAAAAAAAACGGACGGACGGCACTGCAGCATTGGCGGGTTGCCGTCTCCAGACGGCATTTTTTTTCTGCTAGCGGGCACGCACGGGCAGAAAAGACCCGACCAATGCAAACACCCGTTACCGGGTGTTTCACATTTAGACGATCGGCGGCTCCATAGCCCACCGATCGTCTATATGTGCTCGTTTTTTCGGCCCCCCCTCCCCCCCCCGCCGCATCACTTACGCATTCACCTGTCAGTCATCTTGCTGCTATAGCCAAAGAAAAGAAGCTGATGAAGCAGATCTCTGCTTCATCAGCTTTTTTGGGGTCCACAGGTGACATTAGGGGTCCTAGAGATCCCTAATGTCTCCATAAAGAGGACCTGTCAGTGTGCCTTTGAAAAAAAAAAAAAAAAA